CCTAAAGCATCTAAGGTAGATAAGATCTCTTTACTGAAATGCACAGGATTAATGTTCAGAGGAGCAGTCACGTGACTGCAATCAACAGCATCCTTTCATGAAATACCCTCCTGTTGTTGGTCTAAAGTGTACCAGAGCAGGGACAGACAAACTAACGCCTTGCCAGAGGGAGTGATATTGGTCAATCCCAGAGTAATGGAAATTTTCCTCAAGATAAAGCCAAACCTCAAGCCAAAGTTACTACAGTTCAGGGACATCCTAACAAGGATGGACCTTGTTTGAAAAAAGCTAAGAGGAGGTTATGATGGGAGCGAGTCAGGTGGAATCTGTCATTTCCCAAGCCAAGCGTGCAGGTCCACAACCGCTGCAGGTATCCAGGACAAGGGCTTAAATTGCTCAGCACCCTACAGTTCCTGCCAAGGCAGAGATAGAGCACCCCATTTTGCTGTCACTGCTCAAGGGAAGTCCCTGTTGCATCAACAGGAATTTCACTGCTGACCCCAGGAACTGGGTCACAGCTTTGCTTCTAAGTGCATTTGCTATTTCTGTATAAGAATTATATTGCAGCTTACTGTCTTCTGGCATCTCATTTGTGTCCCTCTCAACCTCCTCATGAGGTCCTCAGCAAGTATAAGCTGGTAATGCTGCCCCAGCTATGAGTGGTGTTCTGCCTCTTCTGGTTAAAAGGTGAAACTTTCCTCTAATGAAAATTTTTTATGTATGTCTGCCCAGGCATAAGAAACTGTCACATTTTTCTGGATTATAAATAACTTTCATCTAAAAAAAAAACAAGTGTTGCAAAACTAATTGGCGGTACACACCAATGTAACATGCGCCATTGCTTGGAAATTCCTGCTCTAGGATACATCTCTCACTACTTCTAAAAACTTCAAAAACTTGCATATCTAACAGCACACATTTCTGCTTTGCTTACTTACGCTTCTCTCCATCAAGATCTGTGACACATTATTCTGGGGGCTTATCTGCCAGGAATTTTTCATGAAGAACCCAATGGCACTTGAGAATCTGTCAACAGTCGGGGTGAACTTCTTGAAAGTGCATTCTGCAATCCTGACAGGTCCATCATAAATCTGGAATCCACGAATAGGGAACGTCCTGTGAGATTTAAAAGCAAACACAGTCGTATGTTAAAGCTTGGGCAAAATCTGAGTCTTCTCCTGAAAGCACAGAAAGACATTAATGAGTGGCTAAACTACCTTTCCTTTCCCAGAAATGGGATCTGGGCACTCATCACACTGTTAATGAAAGATGAATCTCTGCTGAACATCCTCTACAACATAAGGCTCAAGAGCCAAAACAAATTACTTGTAAGCTTGCCTAAGGCCTGTAAGTTGGGGTAAAGCAGTTCAAAACCCTTGTCCCCAGCCACCCAGGAGTTCATCACCACAAGGAAGAACCCAAAGGGTCATGTGACAGCATTGCCATCAGGTTCCCTGTTACAGCGCAGATGGGTTTCTCAGGAAAACATCAACATGGTTGAAAACACGTATCAGTCAGACTCCCTGGAGGCAAGTGTCTTATCAAAAGCCAGTACCAAGTGGTGCAACACAGTTTCTCCTTTCCCTTCAAGCCATTTCACACAAGATCCCCAAGACCTAGTCCACAGCATTTCATACAGAAAAGTGATTTCTGCAGTATCAGTCCATGGACATGTTGTTAAGACATCAGTGTTGACAGAGATGCCACTGGAGTCACAGGTAAGTACTTGCCCCTTCCATGGTTTGTTTTGAGGAAGTGCCAAGTTTTGCTTGGCTCTGGCCATGTTTGATTAAAGGGCGGCCTGCTCAGCTTCACACACAGCAATGAAGCTGGCTAGTAGTGGCATGGAAGGGTAGGTCAATGCCTATCGAGTCCAGAAAGAGTTCTTCAGACATGAAAGCCACAAAGTGGACAGCACATGGGGGGTCACCGAGGCCCAGATTCCACCTCCAGCCCTGATGTTTTTTCTTACTGGTTGGCTCCAGAGATCCAGAAACACTTTGTCAATTGGAAACACCAGGCACAAAGAGTGTTTCTTGACCAAATAATTCTTCTTCAATTTCCAGAGCTGTTATCCCAGTAGTTGAGACTGGTACAACCGCTATGTCCCGTTTTGCACTATGGCGTAACGGAAGGACAGCATCAGACATTTTGGCATACTCCTTTCCAAGGGTGCATTGCTTAACAATATCACAAATGATTAGAGCTTCTTTGAACTGCAAAAGAGCTTTCTTGAAATTGCAATTAAAGTAACAACACTGATAATAACTGAAGACAGCTCTGATTATTCTTGCTGTCCTACACAGATCCCATTCCTGTGTCACTTATCGCTGAGACATGTATAGTCAGGGCTGTGCACATGGCATGTCTGCTGAGTACTGCTTTTTACTTGATTTTATATTCCTTGTAGAGGGTTTAATAATTGCTGAGCACCAACAAAAAAATAGATCAGCGCAGAATTTAGGCTTGGGGAAGCACATCTTGCTGTGGGGATGTGGGTAGGCACCGCAGTTGCTAAAGAGGAGGCCGTGTTACTGTCAAAACAGAAAATAACGTACAGCAATTGACAGACAAATAAGATGCAATAATGAAAAATGGTTTCTCCTTTGTCAAACCAGCCATGTTTGTTCAGCTACGCTGGCAGGAGGGATGGTGGCATGGTGTACAGGAGCTGCGCCATCAGCTTGATGCTGTGCTACTGAAGGACTACACAAAAGCCATTTGGTATCTTTCAGATTCTCTAATCTGTTCTCCAGTGACTAATAAATTAAGCAGAAAATTAAATCAAACACATTCAGTTGAGAATGGTCTCAAGCTGTTGTCCTGAAGAGTGAGTTTATTTGGATGCTTATTATTTCTGGCCTGTACAATGATTTAAACACCCAGTATAAATTACTCGTTGGTAGTCACATTCATTCCTGAAGCTTTTCTTCTAACTTACACTAACACCAAGAAGAAATGGCAGAAGAATAACTCACTTGTTTCTGGGCAGTGTTCTGTATTCTCCATTTGCCCCTTTTCCCCAGTAGCTGTTTTGGCCTCCCTGGGAGCCAAAGTTGCTGCTTTCTCCAACAAAAATGGAGCGTGTAACCTCCAGGCTGGAGCCTTCATCTGTTGGGAAAGTCCCATCACTGCAAGCAAAGAAACACCAGGTAACTATACAGCACACCACAACCAATTAATTAACACTTAGTTACACCACAGACACAGTAGAATTTCTTTCTTAATTCGGAAAAAAAATGCATGTGCTGGTATAACAGCATGCTTCAAAATCTCTTCAGAAACCACAATGTTAGTGCCAAGGTAGCTTAGTGGTCGGGAATCAGTAATACAGGTAACTTAGTCTGGGTAAAACCAGCTCTACCCTACATATATATGTATACACACACACACATATAATTGTTCTATACTGAGTTGCTTTATGAATTTTTAGCTACATCCTTGAAGGCAAATATCACTGACTTTCATTGCCTGCAGTGGACTTCGGATATGGCTTATTTTTGCTGGTCTTTTACAAGAGGGGTCGAGACAAGAGCAGCACGGGCATGGCAGATACCAGCAGAGGAGGCAGGACACCACGTGGGACCATCCCAGCCACCCTGCCCTGGCAGCACACAAGCTATGGGTAATGCTGCTCCACCAGGCTAGAGCAGAAGAAAAGTCTCCCCAAATGAAGAGCCAGGTGTTTAGTCTACTGGTTCGGGACCTACCATCCAAAAGGAAATATTCGGCAATTATGCTGTATTCCCCAGGCATGCTGAGGCAAAGAGAATGAAAGGCTAAATTACCCCTTGTATTAATGGCTGTGCAGGGAAGACTTCATGTGGTCTGGGAGGGAAATGTGAGGTTTTCTCATGTCTTACAGTAATTACCAGGGGAGTGTCTCAGCATCCATTCTTCAGCCTGTTACACTGAGTTAAAAAATGGGAAGAAGGTCCATTTTAAGAAATTACCTTGCCAGAGTGAGTCCAATTCCATTGTCTGAAAACCTAGGACAGAAGAAACACAATGGTGTAAATGATGAGGAATGTCCACAGTGAATGTGGCCTACAGACCTATTTATGTCTGCCGTGAGGGGAATGATATAACACATAATTACAGTAACCTACCCCGAGTTGCGGAAAATAATGTCGCCACCCCTGGCCCAGGCGCCATGGTCATTATTTTTAAAAGCAATAAGACCATCAATCACGGCAGGAACTCGTGGCTTTTCAGGATCAGCATCTTGATGTGGGCGAAACCTGAAGCAAGGAGCTTAGTTAATGTGGTACGAAAGACCTAGGAACCGAATTCGGATACAGAAGGTCATGCCTGACAGACCTCATATGGGTTCCAAATATCAGCATGATGGACCTCAAGAGGTGATATGCCCTGGATCAGAGTCAGGCTATTAGCTTGATTTCGTTGATTTCATTTGGTACAAAGCAGAAAACAAGAAACATGCAGAACGGTGAAATTCTGTCCCCAGTGAAATCAACAGGTGATTTCTCACTGGACTTCAATGGGCCCACAGCCACTCCTTAATTTGATTCAGTGTGATTAGAGGCATAGAAAATATTTTTCCAAAGTCACTTGGGTCTTTTTCTAATTGTCCTTGCAAGGCACACTGAGAATCCCTGGGTTGATGCTAGGAAATCAATTAGGCACTTTCAAGAATCTCATTCAGCAAAGATAACAGAGTAATTGGAGCTTCTTTTCCTTGCATGTACAGAGCAGACCTCCATATGCTTCTGTCTCTGCTGAAAAAGAAGCTGTCACATGAAAAAAGGATTCGCCCTAGGAACTGGGCGCTTCTCGATTACTTGCAGGCTATTCTTGCCACACTGGCTGTTAATGGTAGGTTCGTGCCATGTTTGGAAAACAAAAAAATATCACCATTGCTTTTCCTGAGTCTACCCTCACCTCCTGCTTCTTCCAGCTGCTCTACTAAGGGAGCTGGCTCCTCAGTGCCCAAGGGGGTGACCCTGGCAGGGAAGTCTCAAAAAGGGACAAAAAGGCACCCTTCCCTTTCAGCCGTATGGGAGCATCATAGTGGCATTGATAGGGTATGATGGAGGGGGGAAAACAGCCAAGGCTTGACCATGAGCAGCGGCTCATTTCTGCCACAACCTCCTCATATAGACCCATAGGGCTGCAGTGAGTGAGAAAATGGCCTTAATTTACCTGCTTCCACTCTGCAAAAGGAAGCTCAGGGATTCTAAAGCAGCTGATGAAAAGCTTTGAGGCTACTTTATTTTCCTCATTAATCCTAGACCAGTCTCAGCAGTCTCTTACGTCACCTTTCAGCTCTAAGTTCTTCTAAGTAATTAGTAAGAAATGTTGGAGTTTACAAACCCGCTAATGGACTAATGGAATCTGGATCCCCTTTCACATGCTTCACTGCTTAGTCCTCATAACCCCAAGCGAATGTGTAGAATTTCTGGTCAGCAATAACACAAACAATTCAGTGCATAGCTACGAAGTATTTGCCTCTGCACATCAGAGATAGCTTGTGGGGTTTTCTTCAGATGCTCTAGCCATAATGAGGCATTAATGATCTGTTAAATACAATGCAGAAGCCAAGAAGCAATACAACTGTCCAAAATACTTAGCCATACAGCATGTGCTTACCTGGCATTATCGACAGTCAGATACTCTCTGGGATCCTCAGCATTGGCTCTCGTTGTCTTTACTCCTTTTCCAATAAACAAACCAGCCTGAAAAGGCACACGACTCCAATTATTTTAACAGACTGCCCAACAGAGACCAGAGATCCCAGGCTTTTATCAATGAACACGGGCAGCCAGTGCATGCAGGCACAGCGAGTGCCTGCAGCCTGGGCTTTCTCTTCCCTTTCAGTGTCACTTGGCACTGCTCTGTATGACATTAGCGCAGGACGTAGCATGCTGAAGTCAGGACCGAGCCTGCCCTACCATATGTTATGCATCAGCATCTTGGGCTGTCTTCTGACCCAAAGCAAGGCACTGAACTCCCACTCTCTCTTTCTCTCTCGCAGAAAGCAAGAAGGGACTTTGCCAAGCTTTTGATAACTTTTTGGAAAAAGAGTGCTGTTAAGAAGCAAGGTTTTAAATAAAGAGTGATGAGTCCCCCGACAGTCGAAAGAGAACGTGAGCTGCCACAGCCAACTTAAAGGCTTTGGCCTAGAGCAGCAGCTGTCATGGAGCAAGATATAAAATATACCAGGCACAGAGAACAGCACTGATTTCAATCTAGAACCCTGAGAAATAAGTGTAAAATGCTTTTTATAACTTACAGGTTATGTTTTCACGTCAACAGTATATTTTTTGCTTGGAATTACCATGGAATTTCTGGTCTCATTTTTCAAAGGTGATGAGCAGGACCTGGCATAAACTACTTTTGCTCATCCCCCTATATCCTTGCACCACTGTAGCCAACAGCAGTGCTCAGTGTCCTGTCCATCATTCCTTAAATCTCACTTAGTGGGCGTACCTAAGGCCTGGGCACATCCCTCTAACACAGGCACCCAACTGCAGTGCCTGAAATGGGACTCCCATTCTGCTCAGCTCCCTCTTTAATCATTGGAAAGAGCATCAGCCCCAAAAGTTGATTGTGCCTTGATACAGTGTTAAAAGACCTTTATCAAAAATGTAAGACAGCCATGATCATCTGATTTCAGAGCACCACACAGCCAGTGCTACGCCATACTACTATATTGATAGAAACACATAAAAATCATCCACCTGCCTTGAAATTGGAGTGGACCCTGTTGTTGTAAAATACTCCCAAGGGGGTATGTTCAGCCTGTCCCTCTGGATATTGCCCCTCAGACTGTCCAGTGGGAACCCGGTGGAAGATGTACCATATCCCAACATCCTAAAAGACAAAGGGAGGTCTGAGAAATGGGACACCGCAGTTAATGAGACAGGTTAACCTGGGGACTTAGGGTTTCCCACTGTGCTGGCCAGATTTCTAACCTGAGCCTGCCAAACATGTGAGTCCCAGGGGACAGACAGCAGCCCATACTCTTACACCTCCCAACTTATCCTTTGGTATGTGTAGTGGGTCCCCCAGGCACACACAGATAGGTTTTAAAAATGCATATATTGTAGGTGAAATTCAGGTGGTTTATTAGAAAACATAGCCTTCTCTATACAGGCACGTTAAACACAAACACGATTTGAGCAAACATCAGAGATAATAACAAGGAGAGAATACATATTTATGTATATAAATATAAAATTTTATTGGCCATTTAACTATTAACTACTAACAAAAATCAACATTTGCTGAGAAACGCCACACACCATTTCCAACGTGAGAGAAATTTGTGAGAGAGATCAGTGGGAGAACTGTAGGCAATTGCTTGTTCTTAACAGAGACAAAGGTTGCAGAAACACGTATCCAAATTTTATGATGGCTTACTGAAAATTCATTGCCCTCATATTAATGACATCAATAAAAGTAGAATACACGGAAACTGGAGGCAAAGCATAGCTCTTGCCATTAAATGATTTTACCTGAGCACCAGCTGCTGCATTCTCTATTAAGTTGTTGTTTGGATTTGCAATCCAGAATGTGCTGACAGCCCTGAAAAATCAAAATCAAAATGATCCTAAGCAGTTACCAGCCAGGAAGGGATACATTTTCATAGCACTGCACTGGACTTGAGCTGTACCTCTCCTGTTGACTTTAAAACTCCACACAAGCTTTTAATGACACTCTTTAAGGAAAAGAAATCATCTAGTAATGTCAGATATGTTCATTTATGGAGCCACAGGCTGAACCTATTGTAAATTATATGAGACTGTTAACACAAATTCCATGCTCTGTCAAACGCAGCTTAAGGAAACCCAACGTCTTTTTATTTCTTTCTTTTTCTTTTTTCTTTTTTTTTTTTTTAAAAAAAAAAGTGAAGTGGCTTTGGAAAACATCTGAAAAGTGAGTTTCTGGCTTGTTTTTTGGAACTTCAGGGGCAACGGCAGAAGGTAGGGGAATTTTCTATGGATTTGTGAAGCTCCAACCCAAACCATTCTATGATTCTATGTGTAAAAGAAAAAAATGTCCTTGAGCCGCAAATGGCTCCTTAATCAGGAGATTAAGGAGATGTTATTTCAACATTTGTTCAGATAAGGAGTTTTTGCTTCAGAGGGAAGATCATCGGTGGCATAAACAAAAGCCACATATAGCTATTGAAACGGTGTCATCTGTTGTCTTAGTTCATTTGTGCCCTGATTTAGGCTGGGATAGAGTTAATTTTTTTCCTAGTAGCTGGTATAGTGCTGCGTTTTGGATTTAGGGTGAGAATAATGTTGCCAACACGCTGATGTTTTAGTTGTTGCTAAGCAGGGCTCACACTAAGTCAAGGACTTTTCAGCTTCTCACACCACCCCACCAACGCGGAGGCTGGGGGGCACAAGAGGCTGGGAGGGGACACAGCTGGGACAGCTGACCCCAGCTGACCAAAGGGATAGCCCCTACCGTATGACATCATGCTCAGCATATAAAGCTGGGGGAACGCTGGTGGGGGGCCACTGCTTGGGAACTGGCTGGGCATCGCTCGGCAGGCAGTAAGCAATTGCACCGTGCATCACTTGTTTTGTATATTCTAATTCTTTCATCATTATCATTATTATTATTTCCAGTAGTAGTATTTTCCCTTCCTTTTCTGTCCTATCAAACTGTCTTTATCTCAACGCACATATTTTACTTTTTTTTTTTTTTTTTCTCCCCAAATCTCTCCCCCATCCCACTGTGGGGGTGGGGAGTGAGCAAGCGGCTGTGTGGTGTTTAGCTCCCTGCTGGCTTAAACCACGACAATTTGATAACATCTTTTGCAGTAGTGAAGACCACATGTAAAAGCACTGTAAACCTTTTCTCATGACTGTACCAATTAATACGATCATTCTAAGCACAAAATCTCAATAAATTTTTATCCACCTTAAGTATTATATAATCAAGAATCCACACTCCTTTGTGTTAACAGAACCACTAAATAGGTGCAAAATAAAACTGTATTAACCATACAAGCAACCTTAGAATTTCAGTAACAATCATTGCGATTAATTTGTTATTTATGCAAATGGAAGTAAGTAGAATTTGGCCACTGAATCCTTTTCCAGAAAATATGAAACTACAAATTGCCTTGGCTAAACTGTGTTCTTGCTTGCAAACACTAGCCAGATCAATACTCGGGACCCCAAAGTCCCCATCTCACAGCTCATCAGTCTCCAAAATAGAAGCTAACCTTGGTCAGCTGTATCGGGATATTGTTTATTGTTAAATGATGCTCACTGTAGTTTATGCTAATGTCTGCATTCTCACTAAATCTCCTGATGTACTCTAGATAGTCATGTATTCATGTACTATTGACCAATTTACTCTAGATGCTCCAGGCCCAATCCAGCCCTGGTGAAAAAAAAAAAAGGCAGAAACTCCCTTTATAGTAAGTGATATTTTTGCCAGCTTATACCAGGGCTGAAGGAATGTGCACTTAACAGACAGATTTCATGAAGCCTTCAACATCCTACTTAAGAGTTGAAATGGGTTTAGAAATGAGCAAAGTGCTCAAGCCTGTTTATGATTCTCAGGAGCGACAGGAATAACCAGCAGCAAATACTCCTTAGGACTCACACAGGTGTTAACAGATATCTTCACAAGCAAAACAGAGTCAAGTAGCAAAATTATTTTAAAATGAGAAGTGGTAGGAAAAGCTACAATTTTCCATTTAACGTTAAAGAACACCTTCCAAAAGTTTCACCCCAGCATACTTTGGGCCCCGGCTATAAAGCACAACATTGGTGCAAAGCCTGACTACAGCTCCCAGAGCACTTACATGCAGTCGGTGCTCGGCACAGGAACGTAATCCCCGTAGACGTGGCTGCGGATGGCAAGGCACATAGCCTCATTGCGATCCGAAGGCAAGATCGTCCCTGACTTTGTGAGGAGGCCCAAGTTGTGATAAAACGTATTGCGTTGCTCCGTCCCGTCTTCGAGGAAGAAGCAGTGCCCCAGAGTGTCATAGCCAATGGTGTCTTTTACCTGAAAAAAAAGTAGACAGGCCATAGATCACAATGCTAACAGCAGTAGGAACTGTAACTGGTGTGCTTTGCATATCAATACATTCCCGAAACACTCACAGAGGGGTTTTGCCACCCCTCTGCACAGTGAGCAGTGGCTCCATAGGCATCGGTCCCAAAGCTAACTGGAACTACATGCAGTCTGCGTAACTGTGGACTGATCTTCTTATAGAGTGAAACTGCTATTAAAATTACTCTGAAGAAGATCACACGCATAATTACAGGAAAATTGCAAAATACTGGATTTAAAACTGCCCTAAGCTCTAAGAGAGAATATTTGATTAGGTGTCACGGAGTAAATATCTGCGTAAAGACAAGTGAGTCTTGCATGATAAACCAACAAGTTAGGATGGTTAATCCAGAAATTTTCATGATGCAACACTTCTCAAATAAAATAAGAAATTCTTAAAAATGCACCATGTGAAGTAATTTATATTAACAATGTTCTTTCTCCCCGACTCTCAGAAGGTGCAGAGCCACTTCATTCCTGTAATGATCAGCTTGGGCAGAGATGGTATTTTACTATTTCAGTCTATTTAATATTAATTGACATGCACAGGGGTATTGCATTAAACCCTAATTTGACCAAGAGGACTTAGCACAAGCCTCCTTTGATGTAAAGTCTTATGAAGATAAATTCAGAAATCCTTCGTTTAAATGTAAATACTAAATCAGGCTAGTTAAAATACCAGCTATTTGTTACTAAATCTTACTGAAACCTTAACTTTGTACTCCAATGATCCCTGTCAGCATTTTTATTCACTCTTCAGGCATACAAAATTCCTGTTGACGTCAGAGTTATGTCTGTGTAAGACTGCAAGCTTAACTAATATTAACCTACTTGGTTATTTCTGTATACAGAGGGATATTTTAACTACATCCATTTCAGATTCACATCCTGTGATTTCCCCTTAATGGGCTGAAACTGTACGTAACATCTGGAGTCACAAAGAGTATAGTCCCCACAGGTATATCTCTACTGGATTCCATTGTTTTCCTGGCAGTCACCCCTCAAACTTGTCATCTGCTGCTCTTGTTTCTGTCCTAATGAGGTGTTCAAGGGAGAGTTATAAAAAAGGCACAACACAAACGGGTACCCAGTTCCTAACTGATACAGTTTTGGGAATCCACTGAGACCCTGCACGCAGGTACAGTAGCTCGGAGTGAGCTACAAGAGGGTAACAGAGAACCTACATGCAGTGACACTGAATGTGTCCCTGCCAGCTGAGTCTTGGAAATACAAATAGGAAATGGATTTAGATAAAAGTGCAAGTGTCCTTGCCAACCTGCTAAGAACAGTAGGCTCGGCTGCTTCTACCCTTCCAAATGATGGGCAGAAGCTGCGCTAAGGAGGCCATGGAAGACTATTTTTGGAAAGAAACTGTAACAACAAACCGCTCCCTGTTTTAAACAGCATTTCAACTGTAGAGTTTCATTCTTCTGAATTTAGCTGAAGTTTAGATAATCTGTGCTTCAGACAGCTGCGTTAAAAACCGGCCTTGTATCCGAAAACAGATTTTAGCTTTTGTTAATATGGTTAGTCACAGCTTCAGAATTGCAGCCCTGAAAACTTACATACACAAAACTATACTGATGACCCTCCTAACCAGAAATAACATAATGTAAAGATCACTTACATTTGTACTGAAAGATAAGGGTCCATGCCATTAGATCAAAACCCCAATAACTGATCAATTCTGGCATATCACAAATAGACACTATATGCTGGGAAATGAGCCCACCTGCAGCACTGTGACAGCAGCGTACTACTGTATGTGCCAGCAGCGTATTACTGTACGTGCCAGCATGAAACACCATCCACAACGCAGGCTACAGCCTCACTGGTGTGTCCAACACCAGATGATTAAGATGCTTCTAAACACTGAATTATATATAGTTCAGCAACACAATATAAGTGACCTTTATGCACTGCAACATTAGACATGAAAGACTACAGTAGTCTGTGATGCCTGACGTGTGCCAGGGCAGTGTGAGGCATGCCGCAGCCTGCGCCCCAGCCGCGGTGAGTAACCCAAGCTGTGTGCGCTGCTGCCACCCGCTCGCACAGCGGCACAAGCCCAGCACACGGGAGCAGCAGATGGGAGAAGGGCCTTACAGGCAGAACTGCATGACCCATGCACAGAAAAGCACAAACCACAGCACTTTGGCAACGTACTTCTAAAATTACATCCTCTAAACCGTCAAGACAGGAGGGGGAAGAACCCACCTATCTGGTTTATTCTGCCTCAAGGGCTAAAGTTTCATAACCTGATGCTAAAATGGGTGCCCATCTATGTTGTTTAACCTCCTTGCTCTGATACACATGCCCTTCTCTCAAACTGCAAACTATTTTATTTAAAGCAAGTCTTTTTATTACATTTTAATTACTCTTTATCTTTATGACTGTAGTGAAACCACATGATTCTTCCACAGAATCACATACTTAACCTTTCCTATAAAATCTATTCACTGCTTCACGGACTCAAAGCTCTCAGCGGTCACATGGGGGGGCTGGCTCCCACACAGATTCTTGGTTTCACAACTATTGCATCCCACACATCCAGATAAACCCTTGACAACCTCTTTTTTGGTAAAAAGCAAGACCCTACACCATTCTTCTCAGGACAAACATTAGCATAAGGCTTGATTTTTCATCCCAGGCAGGTTCCTTCAATTCCAGAGGTTTAATACCAATAGGAGGAGAAAGGGAGTTAAACTGACACACACTGGGCAAGTCTCCTGCCACCTAAGGGCTCTGTACACAAAGGCAGGTTTACAGCCAGAGCAAACCACGTATATGAGAAGGCGATCAATAATTTTGAGTGATATGGACAATACAAACTCCAGTTTAGGATACGTGAAAAGTGTTCCCAGTTGTACAAGTCCAGCATCGTACTTCCGTGAATACATCGCTTCAAGGGGACTGTATCACACAAGGGTCCCACCGGAGCGCATCTGTGTCATATCTAACACAGCTTTATGTCCAGGGTTGAGAAAAAGTTGTCAGGAAAACCACGGGAGGTCACGGATAGTTCAGGGAGTGTCTCTGCCTGAGCACACATCGGGTGAATGAGGAAATGGCCACAGACATGAAAACACCGCTCAGGGTCCTGCAGAACACACAGCAACTGGACATGTCAGGACTGGAGTGGGAATGTGCCATGGCTTTTTTGCGGGTTGTTTTTTTTTTTTAAGTTCCTCTCCTCAATGCCCTTGTGAGAATCTAGGTCAAAGCCAAGTTCCTGAGGGCTTTTCTGGCACTGAAGCAGTCGTTTGGGTCTGTCCCTCTCATGTTTCGTTCCCTTTGTCATGTGAATGTTTTTGGATATATTTCACATTGCCCTGACTTGAACAACCCCTGTCCTTTTTATCTCCTTTGCAAATTAAAGGTCCATCGCTTCAGTCAGGTCTGTTTAAAGTCCATTGCTTTCATTTTAAATGAAGGTTCCTATTATCACAATCTGTCCAGAATAACCATGACAAAGATTTCACTCTATCTGATGACACCATTAGTAATACTAATTAGGTAATACTAAGAACCCGAAATTCATTTCAGAGAGCTGCACTACCAGAACAACAGTCCTAGCCTGAACACCAGTCAAACGAAGTTGACAAGTCAGGACATTTCTTGGGGAAAAGATGGCTCGTTTCAATATTCTGATTTCTCTTTGCATCACAAATGGGTCTGACTGTTTAGCAGTGCCTAAGCAAAGAAATTAACTCGATACTAATAAAATATGTCTCCTACCAGAAGGCCATGAGTTCCGTGTATGGCAACACACCTAGAGAAGCAGTGGTGGATAGCCAGGTTATCAAGGTACGTTGGGCGTTCGTATCCTCCTCTCTCATCCACATCCTCAGCCAAGTGAAAATGCACAGGGTAACTGCCCAGGATCTGCTGCCCCATGTTTTTTAACTCCACTCCTGACATGTGAACAGAGCTAAAATTCCTTAGGATCTGTTGACACAAATGTAGTTACAAGTCAGGCTTTACAATATAAACACACACACAAAAGAAAACCACCTTTTTTCTCTCATTAGGCAATATGTTTGCAGAGTAAAACAGGGCCTGATCCCAGGAGGAGGTGTCAGCCCCCTGCTCTGACTCACGGCAGTGCAGCACCTGCAGAGCAGTATGCCAGCAGCTGCTCACCTATGGGCACGGGGCTGCCAAGGAACTGCTGCCGAACAGCACGTGCAGTACTTGGCAACAGCAGTGTGTGACATGGCTACGGGCAAGGCACTCCTGCCAGCCACAGGAAGGGCTAGCTTTTACCACCAGGCTCTGTTTGCTGGCAACTCTATCTCTGTCAAGTGATTTTAGGCCAGATCTGCAGAGCTCCCTGATTACCACCGACCAGTAGAGGAGTAATTTTACACAAAGCCCCTGCAACAGCAAGACTTTGCACCTCCACCGAGAACTCATGGGACAACCAAGAGGAGGCAAAGCACAACAGGGCGAGACCCAGCGCCTCTCTGAGCTGCAAAGGGAGCAGGTTTGCTCTGCTGGAAGCACAATTTCTTCAGTGACACCTTGTGAACTATGTAACTTCACACTGACCCTACTGACAGCGATGCCACTAAAGAATGCCCTCTAGCCCAGAGAAGGGTACATTTTTGCATACATGGAGAAGAAAATGGCACAGGCTCATTGCAAGTCCAGTTTTGCAAAACAGGCCATCAAATTTTTCCCTTCTTCATAGACAAGTGTATTTTTTCCCACTGACGCAATGGTAGTTTCATGTATTCTGTTACTTGTTTACAAACCAGGAAAGGAACTATTGGAAACCACCTACAGGGATACACATTAAAAATTACTCACTTTAATATGTCCTCCAAATGTATCAAAGGAGAAAAACTGGCATTGATTTTGTCCATAACAGGAGTCTTCCATTTCTCCTTGAATAAGTATATTTCTAGTCAGAAGACCAACCTCTGCCCTCATATCGACACCATCTATGACTTCTCCAATGTGAAGATAAAGTGGGCTGCCTGTGAAAATCAGAAATCTTTTTATTCTGAGTGAGCACGGCACCTTCGTTATCGCATTGTTCTAAGCAAGTGCACATCTTTCATTTAAGCAACCACCAAGTCTGGGGATGCTCCCAGTCGTTAGTAGCTGATCCCAGAGGAGAGCAGCTTTTCCTCTGGCTTCTACAAAGGACTGCTGCCTCTGGTCGAGCTTTCAAGTCCAAATATAATATTGGGGCCTTCAGCTCTCATATGTACCCGTGTGTTTATGGGACAAGAGCTAGCTAAAAAGACAAGTACATGTAGAACATAAAAACCAAGACAATATAAGTATTTACCACAAATGAGTAGCTTGATAAAAATATTTCATACCATCGATTTTCACTTGATTACTTCTACATTCAGGGCAAGGAAGGAGATTAAACTCTTCAGCCTGATGCATAGAATAATCTGTACTGGCAACGACGACCCGGTCACCAGGTAACCAACTTGTAACCTCATCCACCAAGTGAAGAATTATTCCTTTGGACACTTCCACTTTAAATCCATTATGAGGCACCCCTGGAAAATGAAGCGATCCATTATTTTTACAGTTGCACATGACAGAATCATGCAATTAGTCAAAGAGCATACCAATTCAGTTTTTATCTAGACAGCTCCATGCATGATAGGAGTGCTCTAGCCATTAAATGTCAGTATCATCCCTTTGTAGGCAGCTAAAACGTCACTTTGTGAGAATATTGCTGTTAGCTCGGTCACCGTCCATGTGAGCAAAAGACTATGATATTATTGTCATTGCACTGCTCAGCTTCCCAGCGGAGAGCAAAGCAGAGCGACCGAAGACCAGCCATTGTCAGGGAAGACTACACCTTTTATCCATCCACTGAAGGCGGTAACGGTAAAACGGGTGCCGTCGTAGGTGACGAAATCTCTCTGGGCCACGGCTAACCCCGTCGTTCCACTCCCGTGGTACTCCCGTTTATCTTCCGCCGTGGAAAGCTGATCCCCTCCGAGGATCCCCACCAGCGCCCAGGGCTGCCTGAAGGAGACCGGGAAGGAGCGAAGCGAGTGACAGCCTGAACCCTCCATCCCCCAAAGACCTCGGGCAGGAGGGGAGGACCCCTCCCTCCCCCAGCCCGGGCTGCCCCCCGGACCCCGGCCCGGCCCTCG